TCATTTTTTAACTCACCCGAGAGGTCGAAGTGGGTTACGGTGTCGATGATGGGCTCCATCACCTCCTCGGAGACGTGTTCCAGTTTGTTGTTCTGCATGTTGAGGGTCTCGAGAGAGTTGAGGTTCTCGAACGCAAGTCCCGGAAGCACAAGTATGCTGCAACAAGACAGCCCACCGCAGCTCTGAGTCGGTGGTCGTGATCCAAGACTCAGGCTCACACTATCACCGGTCGCGTTGCGGACTCAACTTGCCTTGAGGTCAATCTTGAGGACTTCCCGCTCGCACACATACAACATTTCAGCAACTTCATAGAAATAGTGGAAGGTTGCGCCCTACCATACCATCAAGCTATTTGTCTAAATTTTCAGGAATTTAAATTTAAATTATTTGCCCTGAGCGGGATGGCACGGCAAGAAGCATCACTTCCGTTTGTTCCATAGCCCACTGCCCACTCAAGCAAATGATTGTGCAAGAAGGTTGCCCAATCGAAGAACTGTGTTTTTTTTTAAAGAAAAAAGACTCCTTTGCATTATCTGCCATCAATTGTATGAAGGACCTTTCCGCTATTTATGAAAAAGTGCATTATTTTTAAAAACTGGAGTACAATAATGCAATCCTGTAGTATTCAATTCTTTTCATATACGGCTCCAAAATAAAAAAAAAAACCTGGTAATAGCCCGTTAGTACTATCAGAAATAATAAATAGTCATGCGCATTTCGTGAAGTAGGCTTTGAATCCATTGCACAAACAAGCTTTGGTGTTAAAATGAAATGCCATCAACGATTAATAGTCAAAGCTTTCCCAAAGGCCCTTAAATTCTCTATTTTGTACTGACCATACCAGACAAATCCAATCTGCGTTTAATAATGTTGTCTTGGGCGGACGTTTTCATGCAGTAGTTTATTTTACGCCCCGCATAGGGTGTCGGTATCCTTGACAACTTACCTCGTCTTGCCGCCTCGCATCTTCTCCGGAGATTTAAACTTCAATCTTCTTGTCCACATCGCCCTACTGCCCAGCTCAACGTTATTGACGCGTCGCTTAAATGCGAGGATTCCTAAGCCAAACAGAGGGGTCACAACGTAGCCGCCCTCAAAGGACTAACTAATCTAGCTAGGACAACAAAAGCGTGCAAAACCAGTCTAGGGGGGTGTTTGGCAGAAATAAAACTGGGTCTCTACCTTCTAAACGACACCTCAATAGAAAGTTCCATGATTAAATTAAACGTTACACATTTAAAGACAACGTCAAGGTTAACAGACTATTCTAAAAGGAGCACCGAAATATGAGAAAAGTAAGAAAGTTTTGTAACTCACTATAAAAAGGAGTTACATGTGAAATTATTTTTTAAGTGGGTACCACTTTCCGTTTTATCACATAGAGTGACCCATCGGTGCTGTCCTCTCCTCTGTTTATGTTGCACCGGATGCGGGAATGTGTACGGGTTGCATACTCGCACGGGGCTGTAAGGCGTAAAGCGCCTCATTGAGCGACGATAGGCCAGCCCACCCGCACACCTGCATCTGCATCTGCTGCATTCACTGTAAAACGTAGAGCGACCTTTCTTTCCCGAATTGAGCGACATATAAGCTTCATCGCTCTGTTAGGGCGATTTTTGCGAAATGACTTGACACGAATCTTCTTATTCGCAACAGAAAATGTCGCAGAAACTACTCTAAACGAGCGACTTTTGCGAAAGTGAGTCTTATTCGTAACCAAAAATGTCGCGAAAGTTACTCCAAACGAGCGATGTTATTCGATACCTTAGACTAAAAAGCACGCAATTCATTGGCGCGTTTCGAAAGGCACGCAGTTCAGCCGCACGTTTCAAAGACACGCAGTTCAGCCGCGTGTTTCGAAAGACACACAGTTCCTATATCTCTAGAGCGGTAAACTGCGTGTCATTCGAAACGAACGGCTGAACTGGGTGCTTATCGAAACGAGCGGATGAACTGCGTGCCTTTTAGTCTAAGGTATCGAATTAATATCGCTCCCCCAAGAGTCATCAAATTGGATTCACAGTATCGCTCTATTTGGATCGTATTTGGCCACTACTTTACTTGTAGTGTTACATAACCAGAAGGGAAAACGACGCCGATGTACCATCCTGTACCTTGTGGCTGACTCACGCCGCGTACTTTCGTCGTTATATTGCACCGTATGCATTCAGGGAGGCGTCATTTCCACTCACACGGGCCCATAAGGAGCCGTGAGGATAGGCAAACCTGCCCCCACCCCTGCATGCAGTACAGTATAAATACGAAAGTGCACGGAGTGAGTCAGCTGCTTGGTATTATGCTTAACAGCAAGAATTCTATGAATTTACGACGCATCAACGATTTTGTTTCCGATGCTGAATATTTTAAAAAACCTTTTTCGAAGCAGTACATGTTTGACATGTAGCCAAAATTAGAATTCGGAATGCATCGCTTCTGTTTATCTTAACCACAATTGTTTTCAATCATGACGACCATGGGGTTCCAAAAGCAAGCTCAAATAACAACCGTCCACAAACAAACCAGGCCAATATCAAAATTGTGATGGTGCTTAAATTAATAGCCTTAAAACATACGTATGTCAGTTGTTAGTATAACAGTGTGCGACGAAAATACTGTGATAAAGTGGTGTTAGAACAAAAGCGACAAGAACATAAAAAGCCATGCAAACAAATGGTTTAATGGACGCGAACCCGCAGTCCGGTTACGAGAAGACAAAAAGCGTAGATTATGAAGAAATGTTTTGGTAAACTGGATACTGGTACTCACGCGTTCTTTTGTAGGTTGAGGAATGTTATGGAGTCTCCAAATCCAGAGAAAGCGTCGTCAGGAATAAATGTGATGTTATTGACGCGCAGGTCCAGGTGTCGCAAGCGGTGGAGTCGTCGAAGGGCATCACTCGGAATATCATTCAGCTTGTTGTCACCAAGTCGGAGGTATTGAAGATTTTCTGGAAATAAAATTGAGAGTTTTATTGCTCGTTTTTTAGGTTGAGCACGCAACGCCATAGTGGGTGGGTCGCAAACAAGCAGCCGTCGGCGTGGTCATGGTTGTTTGCCAATTGAGCCACTTAAGGAAGCTGACTCGGGATGACGCGCGGATGTCTAGGGTGCCCTCCACCAAGATTATTCTTATACACGCCACACGCACACCAACAGTCCAATGCGGCCGGGATCAAATCAATACAGTGGTGATGAATGCGACTGTACAGCGTTTGTAAAATTGAGGGTAAATCCTGACTCCAAGGAAGTAAATTGGGCAGAGTGTACGCCCCACCACCCCTCCTGCCTCTGAGTCACCTGCGCTCGCCCTGAGCTCCCCGCCCGGCCGCGCCCTCGGGTAGACATGCATTTTCATTAGGCCCATGGGTGTGGTCTCGGTAAACGCTCGCGGTAGGGAGGCCTCAACGTACGCATCTCTTTCGACCGGACACTCCCCTGGGTGTGTCACATTTCGTGACGGAAGATATTTTGCCCCTCTGAGAGGTCGAAACAACGAAATACTCTTCCAAATTCCTTGGCGACTGGAAGCAGATTTTGCCGGAATTGACTATATAAAAAGCATTCTAGTTTCTTTGTGATATACTTTTCTTAATAATATACGAAACGTGCGTTTACCTTCCAGACCGGAGAAAGCTTCTGGATCAACAAAGCGAATCTGGTTGTTTTCCAGTTCTAGTGAGTTTAGAAGTTTTAAGTGTGAAAACACTTTCGCAGGAACAGTGTTGAGGCGATTGTGTTGCAGGTTCAAAGTGTCTAAATTTCTTAGTCCTGAAAGAACACAGACAGAAAATGTATTACAGTTGGAAATTATTTTCAGTTTAGTAAATTTTGAAAAGCTAGACTACTTACCCTCGAAGTCACCTTCTCTTATCTCGGTCAGCTCATTTTCCTGCATTTCAAGCTTTCTCAGGACTTCGAGTGTGGCTAAAGCTTTTTGAGGAACTTGTCGAAGCCCATTTCCTCCGAGGTTAAGTCGCTTTAATTTCCTGCAAAATAATCGTTTTAGTGTCCGTGACTATGGCGTTCTTTATTACCTCTAAAAACGTATTTCGTTTTTCTGGGTTAAAAAGAGAAATGGGACAGAGAGTCTATGGCATCGTGCTCTGACCCCTTCGCGTGAGGCAGTCAATTTTCACCGCCATCTGGGCCCCCTCTCCAAGGCAGACGATTTATCTCCATTTTGGGTGACAATCTGAAGGCCAAAGAGCGCCCTCTCCATTCACGCGGCGGCCCGTGGACGTCGCAGGTGGGGACATGTGCTAAGCGTGTTAAATGCTTGGCGCTTGCCGTGAGGCTATAGTTGCAGGGGTATACTTACTTGCCCAGCCCTTCGAAGGCGTTGGCGTCTACCACATCTATCTTGTTTTCGTACAGGGTCAGTATCTCGAGGGTGTCAAGGCCGATGAAGGCGTTGTTATGGATTGCGGAGATCTTGTTGTGGTTCAGATTGAGGATGAGGAGATGGTGGAGAGTGCCCAGCGCCTTCGAGGGCACCATGGTAAGGATATTTTGCGACAGGTCCAACTGTGTCAGCTTCTTGCCTGTAGGGACACGAGACAAAGTTTCGAAGCGTTAACAAGGGTGACAGAAAAAAAACCTATCGTGATTTCAATCTCCTCTGAATCCCGAACTGTTTTGAATTTACAATAAGGTTCATTACAGGTGGCATCGACCGCCTTGGGAGGCCAGCCACTCACCTCGACACGGTGAAAAATAATACCCTTTTTTTACACCTTTTATTCAAATCGTTCAAAGTGTCCCCAATGCATGACAAGCCGACGAACAAGCTCCGCATTTGCAGGCTCTCATAGCGCCTTGTAGCTAGGCAATATCTTCCTGCTGTGTACGGGTGTGCTGCGGGGTTGCCTACTCTACGTCGCGCAGGCGCTATGCTCCCGTAACTTTCCGAATGAATCTGAGAAGACCTGCGGTAGGTTCTGGACGAGCCGCCAAACTACGCGACGCCCTCTTACACTTGCACAACTCACCGACGGAACTGAGCGACGACTCCTCGACGACGGCGAGGCTGCTGTTGTGGATGGTGAGGTGGCGGATGTCGAGGCCGAGGAAGACAAACTGGAGCAGCTTCGGCAGCGTGTTGTGGCGCAGCTTGAGGTAGAAGATGACGGCGTTGCCGCGGCGCTTGAGCGCGTCCATGGCCTTGTTGATGTGCTGCGTCTCGGTGGTCTCGCACAGGATGTCCAGCCCATTCTTCTTGACGGTGCAGCCGCACGGCTGGATGTCGGCCGCGGCGGGGCAGATGTTTTGGCCGGACTGGCCGCCCTGGGCCGCGGCGAGGCCGAGCAGCGCGAGCAGCAGCAGCAGCGCGGCCAGCAGCCGCGGGGCCCCGGGGGGCGCCCGGCCCCAGGCCCAGCCGGTCCGCGTCATTGGCAGGCGCCTAGACCATGGCTCTGTAACGCGAGAGAACGAAACAGTCAGAAACAGACGGGTACTCTCTGCGGATCAGAAGTTGCCTCGCACGCCCGAGAAGAGAGCGAGGGAAACTTTGGGCGCGTAGGTCGGCAAAATCAATGCTCTTTCTGCGTCGTACGAGATTATCGTCAGTTTACTTGAAGCCCGAGCTCCAACTTTCCCCGCAGCCCGCGCCACAAAACGGTAATAAAGAAGAGGATGGAGACGCGCTTCTTCTCCCGCTAACTCTTGTGCCTTCTCCCCTCCCAGCGCAACAACCCCTTTTTGCAGAGATAAAGGGCGGCGAGACGCGTCCGGAACGGAATCAGGTTATGGAAATGCTCTCGGCCGCAGCTGAACACGCGCCGGGCCAGGCCTGCCCCCCGCTCGCCCCTAGCTAGGGCCCGGTTTCGCCGGCAAACGAGTTTAATGTCCTGGTGCATTGTCGTACGGCCCGCCGGAGTGGACCCTCCGGCTCCAGCCATGTAAATCTCATTTCGAAGAGGAACAAAGAGGAGGGGTGGAAAAAACCGCAGGTTTCCGTCTCCCTCTAGAAACTAATCCAGCCCGTGACGCTCGGCGGAAGCCCGAAAACGGGAAACACACGGGTTGCCCATGGGCCCCCCTATCCGCCGAGCAGGTCGATATCACAGTCGATGAACGCGCACATAGCACACACTGACCTCGGTACACTGTATCCTAAGTGGTGCTGGAGGCATGGAGGGCTCCCCGCGGCCATTCACACCGTTCACTCTTTCCACTCGCGGGGGGGCCTCACAACGAGCAGTGCAGGCACAGGACGCGGCTCGGGTCGGGACGGGCGCGAGCGCGGGCGTAGCGAGCGACACACTGGCCGGCGTGGCCACTGGATAAACTGAGCCTCCCCCCCTCTGCCAGCACGCGAGCGGGACCCGCGGCCGGGCGGGGCCGGCGCTGGTTAGGGCTCAGGGGCTCTTTGACTTTAACAACCTCTTTGGCGGGCGGCCTCCACCCCCTCTCCCCGAGCCCTAAATGAAGAGGCGGGAGGGCAGCTCGCCCCCCACCGCCCGGCCGGCGCCTCTTTATACTGCAGCAGGCCGCCGTTGCCGCCACTGCTCACTTCCGGAGGCGCCACCCCTCGCCCGACCTTCTTCACCTGCTCGCGGATCGGAGGCTTTGTGCTCACTCCCACCCTGATCAGCCGGCGGACAGTCCGCCAGGGTGTATCCAACTGTCACTTGGCACCAACCATTAACTTGTGAACCCGGTAACCCGGGCCAGTATTAACAACGGCGTACTGAATGCATGCAGGTCGCCCTGACGTTACGTTTGCGAAATTTGCACTCTTTCGGTAGGGTATGATAACCATTTCTTGCAAGCTGTATTGCAGAGAGAAAGTCGTTCCAAAAATAATGCGGTAAAACTTTGTTACAAATTTTCGTGATGATT